GCCTAACTGGCAACCCGCAAGCTATTTCTTGTCCCTGGTAAGTGACCACAGCCCTTCAAGCTTTCCTGTCCTCTAAATATCCAGGCTTAGAAGTCAACGGCCTGCTTACACAAATGCAGAGGCAGCACCATGGCACTGACGGGCATCTAAGAGTGCCGAGGGAACATCAGCTGTGTGAAAGAACGCAATCGCGATCTGCATCCGGACTGCCGCACAGGAAACGTCCCTTGCGGCTGCTCGGGCTGCGTCTGTCTCTCACAGGTCTTTGGACATGAGCAGAAAGCCCTGTATCCATCCCCCTATTCCTCCATGACCTCCTGACTCCTCTCCATCTTCAGGACACACTCTGAAGGCACCTGGCTCAGAACCACTGCCATCCATGGAGCGCGGAGTCCCAGGGCTCAGCAGGTGCAGAGGGGAGGTGGGCAGCTCCCCGGCTTCTCGATCCTCATTCTCTGGCTCACTCGACTCCTCCAGATAGGAGCTGCTCTCACTGCCCACACTGCTGTTATAACTCCGGAAACTGTCATAGCCACCAAACAGCTCCAAGTCGCCGTCTTCCTCTTCTTCCTCCATTGGTTCCGAAGACGGGGTCTCCTAGAGGACGGATGACACAAACCAGACAGAAGGGCTTTGGTGCGTCAGGAGGGCTGCAGATGTGCTACTCAGTCTCCTGCTGGTTCTCTGCCAAGTCCACACTTCGGGGAATCTTCCAAATACCCTTTCTGCAAACATCAGGATTACTGTTTGCATAACATTTCTCTACCATAACTCAACAGAATGGCATTAACAAGACAGAAATATTCACCAGGCTCCTCTGTGGATTTACAAATGCTGTATTAACATGAATTCTAAACTCATGATGGGGTTTTGTCCTCATAAACTCACTGTAAGTTGAAAACACAACAAGTCAAAGATGGGTTTAGATTACGTAATCTACGCACACCACAGCTTGATAGTACCGCACACTATGCAGTATGGGTTGTTTGCCTCATGACTGTGGGGCTACCGTATATGAATCTGCCTAACAGGTAGTTTAAAAGGTATGTAGCAAGCTGAAGGCCTGGGCTCTGACCTAGAGCTGAAGTGCCAGCGCTGGCGATTACTGGCATGTGACCCACGGCAAGCCGGAATCTCAGTGCCTTAGTTTCCACGTCTGTAAAAGGAGAATAATACCCCCTATTTCACAGGATTTGCGGGAGAAGTAAGAGTTAATGGAGCTGAAGCACCTAGAACAGTGACTCGAGTGCTCCATAATGTTGGCGAAAAGCATGGGCGCTCAGATCAGATACGCGTGGGTGTGAATGCTGGCTGTTGCACTTCTCAACTGTGTGATTTTCCGTTTTCTTCATCAATACAATGCGGGTAATAACAAGCCTTTAGCGGACTGTTGGGGGCACTGAGATGGGTGAAACCTGGTTCTATTTCCAGCAGAGGGTAAGCGCTCACCGTATAAGCTATTACTCTTACTCCACGTTTTAACAGTCTCCTTTACCATCACCGAATTTTGGAGGTAGTACACTTTCTATGTGCAACTATACATAGACACACGCTAGAACGGAAGCCGATTCCAGTACCCTAAGGGGTCCAGAAGCCAAATGATGAGGGGGTGGGTTGCAGGTCATAGTGGGGTAGATAAAACCTAGCCGGCCAGGTGTTGCAGGCTGACAGACTCCGCACCCACTTCCTTCATCTCGAGCTGTGTGCACGTCCCCGGGGAGTCGCACCAGCTCCCTGCGCCTCCGCTGCTTCAGCCATAAACACGAAGCCCGTGCAAGCTCCAGGCGCGGAGCAACGTTCGCTCAACTCGAGTCTCCCTCCCCCGCCCTGGACGTGACGGGCACCGCGATCGCAGAGGAACACGGCCACGAGACCAGGAGGACAAAGAGGATCCAGGCGCTCTCCGTCCCGGGGCGCAGTTCCGCTTCCCCCCAGCGAGGGAGGCTGTTCCGCCCTGAACTCCTCGCCAGACGCGGGTCCCAGCACTACCGAAGCAAAACGGACCGCCGATCGCCTCTGGCCCTGGCTCAGCCCGCCTACCTCAGTTTACCCATCCTTCCCCCTTCCACCCTCGAGGCGTCGCTAAGAGAGACGGGCCCATGGAGCGACGCGCTCGGGGTTCCCTCGCCCAGTCGCGCTAGGTCCTCTCCCTCTCACCTCAGCGCCCCGTGGTTTCTCCATGAGACTTAGTTTCTCAAACCGTCACCAGGTGTAGGAAGCCATATTGGCCTCAGCGCTCTCCCCGAGCGCACTCATTGGCCAGCTCCCTGAGCCGCGGACCAATCACGCTTCCGGGTAGAGGAAAAGCCGGTTCCGCGCCCGCCCGTGCTCCGCCTCCCCCGGGGCGGGGAAAGCCGCGGGCGATTGTGGGTCTTGTAGTTTCCTTCGGGTGTGAGCGCAGGGTAGTGCCCTAGCGTGGAAATCCCCACCTTGACTGTTCTCATTGTGCCTTCCTCTCTATTGGCCTCTTTTTTAAAAGAATTCATATATATTCATTCTCGTTTTGTTTGAGAGGGAGGGAGAGAAGGAGCGAGCGACCGCTGCCATTTGCTGGTTCATTCCCCAAATGCCTCCAGCAGCTGTGGCTGGGGCAGGTGACAGCTAAGAGACTGAAACTC